AATATTTATATGCATATACGAAATTATTAAACCAATCAAGAAAGTTTATGAGTCAATAATAACAGAGGAATAAATTAGATAAATAAAGTAAGGAGTACAAATTGATAGTGTGATGACAGGTGAACTAGTTGTGGTAAGAATAATAATGGTTTGTATCCATTTTTCATAGTGGGAATTAGGTCAATGATTAGAAAAATATAGATGCTGAGATAACATTCATAAAATCTATAAGATTATATAATAAGTGTTCAGAAAATCGGACAGTGAAGCGTACATTTTGAAAATAGGTGGGAGGGTAAAATCATTTATTAGGGTCAAGGGAGAGATAGAGGTGTTACAAATTTTTTATGTACATAAAGACTCGGATTGTTAGCTCGAATTCCTATGGCTTCTGATATGTGTAACATACAGGATCAAACCCCATAAGAAAAACTAATAAGAATAGGATAAATCACTTGGAATGACCTATTTCTGTTTACTACATAACCGCTATCGATCAAGTGTGATAGAATAGAGATCCGTATTGCTTTGATGATATCCTTTCTTAACCACGAAGGGAGGTGTTCACTAACTCGTCAGCTAAGTTGTCTGGATTCGTAGATACACGCAGATGTGGCAGAACCAGGTGAACTAGTTGAGGAATCACCATATTTTATGGTTCAAATCATGAGTCAATTGAATCTAGACCACCACGGAAAACCTGGAGACACTGGACGGCTGTTTCGTCCTATTGTGGAAATCCTCAGCAGTGGAGCTCTAGCGAGAAGCAATGACCAGTGGAGTTCAACCAGGTCGGTTGTGAAATATCAACTCACTGAAGACAATGGTGGATGGCTGCTCAATTTCGTGGATTGATTGAAGTTAGACATTAACACCGTTGGATGCCGGCTCAGTGGTCTAGAGGTTAAGAGCTCGCGCGCGAAACTGATAGGTCCTGGGTTCGAATCTTTTGAGGCGGGATCGTGGATGCGAACTGCTGAGGAGTCCCACAATAGGACGAAACGGTAGTCCAGTGCTTCTAGGTTTTCCATGGTGGTCTAGCTTCAATTGACTCATGATTTCAACTAAAAAATTACTAAAATCTCCATATAAAACCACTTCTGATAGGGAACACCACATATTGGAGTATGCGTGATAAGGATCTAATTGAAAGCAATATTGTCCGTTTATATTGTTGTTTTAAAAAACTATTACTACGCTGTCTTGATTTGAATAAACAATTTCATTTATTAGTTTTATTTTCGGTGTTATTTAGTGATTGACAGACAGTTGTACTAGAAATATTTATTCACGAGTAGAGATTGCCAAAAAGAAGGAAATCCCAAGTTTAATAGACAGTACCAGTTAATCAGGCTTCTAGTGACTGAAATAACTTACATACACTTGAAAACTTCCCATGGCCTCAAAGGCATAGGCTGACCTTTATTATCAAATTATTAACGCAATTATGATTTCTCATTGAGAAGTTATTATTTGTAAGATTAAAGCATACCTGAGTAAGCAGAATTGAAGTCATTATTTTGAGAAGCATGAAAAATATTTCTGGGACAAAAATGTCTAACCGAAGCCTATTAATATGAAATAAATTTGTCACATTATGTAGACTATAAATAGAGTCATTTCTAACCAAGTATTCCATCTTTACTATTCTTACGAGCATCGACTCTATTGACACATTCATATTCACGTAGTATAGTAATTGTAATATCTTGATTGAAATATGTTTAGTGTAAACAGTTTACCAAATATTTTCAATTAAACAGCAACATGTCGACGTAGAATAGCAAAACCCAGCGCTGGATCATTAAATGGTGGTCATAAGTATAACAGCTGGAAGTTAAATAATTAATTACTGATCCAACACCTTTCCACCGCATAACATATGAAGTTTTATTACATACATCAACTATGAATCCAGTATTTGGAGGTTAATGTTTTCTCTAATAGTATATCTCATTATATGGTTTTTTGATAATGATCCTTCTAAAACTGTTCAGTTCAGTTGTAAAAACATAAAGACGAACAACCGTTATGCAAATAAAATGGAATATTAGGGAATATTGTCTGTACTGCAATGATTACTTGACTTTTTTATAAGCTCACTATGCACGCAGTAAATATACGTAAATAGACTAAGTTAAACATTGTCATCTAATCCAAGTATTGTTTTGAGTATGAAATTATTAAGTAGGCGGTCAATAATGAAAGGTCAAATTTTATTAATTGGCCGAAACTACAGGAAGTTAGCTTCTACCACCTATGACTAAGTGTACAGTTGTACGCATATGCTGATCAGCACAGAGATTTTAAAGTATCTCTTTATAAAGTAAAGCTTAAAGATAACGAGGACGTATGATTAAAATAATATCATTTTAAAGATGAAATGTAATAAACGATAAACCTAGTGAAAATATACAAACCAATGAGTTTTAAATTCTTGGACGTACTAGCTATTAGCCGGTAATTTAATAACTTACCAATATGCCATTCGTTTTCAGAACAGACAGCAACTGATAAGGCAAGAAGAAAGTTGAAAAATGATAAAACAGATGACATTTCAACACATTTGCAGGTTTTCCTGTTTGTAGTAAGCTCCAACGAAGGATCATTTTTCGTGTGCATCTTTTTCGGGGGTATATATACATATATTTGGGATATAAATTATGTCACTTTATTTATGAGATGATATTTAGATCAGAGTAAATTTATTACACTGGGTACAAATAACATTAACAGTAATTTTGCAAACTTCTTGTTATGGAGTTACTATGGTTACTAAAACAAAAATGGGTTACTTCAGAAGAACATCAAAATTTGAACTCATTATGTCAGTTTCATTTTAAGCACACCTAGAGGCTTTTATGGTGAAAGTTGGTATGGAAACGAATCACTGACCATCGTCAAGTTTCTCAATTTAACATAGGACATATAATAAATTATGATTACCAGCCTCTAATGCATACTTATAAATTGACGAAATTTAATCACTGTTTAAATTGGATGAGATAAAGGAACAGTCGACGTTCTCATGTCCGATTAAAAAAAACATATTCAGTCGAAAAATAAGAAAACAAAATTTCGAGTTAAAAAAAACCCACTATGCTTCTTGGATAAGATGATACCCTGTGATCAGCGATTACCAGGTGCCAACACGTTCAAGGGTAAAATGTTTTTAGACTGAAGTATTTGCAACAAGATTGCCGCAACATTCAGTTTTTTAGAGAATCCTGTTAGCTCCAATACAGATATACTAAGCGATACAGAATAGAAATAATCAACTCCCAAAATCACTACTATCAGTCAGTTACAACGTAGAACCTATACGTAAGTTCATCGGTTCAAGTTCACATACCCCATCAGCACAGAGAGATGAAGTCGTCAGGCCAAATCCCAGAGTAGTATAAATAGTACAGTATCAGGGAATAATAGGAGAGATTAGACATCGAAGATACGACTCGAAAAAAATATAAATTAGTGGAATAAGAATAAAAAACGTTATGAAGAATTTAGAATTTGGAGAAAGACAAAGAATGAATGAACGTGTGCTATTCCAAACGATTTTGAGCCATTTCATTGTCTCCAATCATTGGTTATAATTATTTATTTAAACACATAAATATTGGTATAAAGAAGCACCAGATATATATGCGCCATACAAATCTCATTTGATTTGTGTGAGGGCTGTGATACTGCCCAGGTGCCCAAACTGAAGCTGGTGGTTTTCTTAGAGGCCCACACCCGGAGCATTTGACCTAAAGGTCTGATCCACAAGGCAGTGGAGCATCGTGAGATGCATTCCCATGGTAGTCGGTGATCAACGATTGATTCGTACGCCATTTGTTCCATCAGGATACTGGAGCCCATGTGCACCCCAATGGTTCGGAATCAGGGTTTTCCAACTCCCGTAGGTGGACTCGCCTTGTCCACCAACCCGGTTAAAGCGCCGGACATTCGCTTTTCGTCCTCTCAATTTCGTAAACAACAGTAATGCCACGAGAAGGCAGTGAGTAGGACTTCCCTGGCAGAGGCTATATATTTGCGTGGCCATGTGAGAGCATTTCGAGAGGGAGAGCGGACTCTCCCCACTCTCGGCCGTACCAGGGCATTTGGGGGCTGCCACCTCAGTTGATGAAGACTTACTACCTATTCAATCGACCCCGCATTTTTACCTAGTGCTTTATTCCTAACCCAGACAGAGCTTACTCCAAGGTCCCAAAATACACAAGCAATGCTTCAACAAAACCTATGGGCGAATTCTAGTAACCTAAGAATATCCCCTATTCTTAACGGCCGTTTCACATCCATAAAGTAGGACGAAGCGAACTCGCCCTTTGATCGGAAGATGGATATCAAGCCTGCGCCACAAGTGATGTAAGGTGACAAGAACACTGAATTCATGCTACATGAGAGTGAAAGCCGAGAACCGTTAAACATCGAAATTCTACTCATTTAAAGTAATATAAGCTAATTGTCAGTTTTTGACCTTTAAGTCACATCAGTTAATGAGATTGTACACCTGAATTTCTGTAAGATGTTGACTGTATTGTATATGTAACCTCTCCACAACAAAGTTCAGTGACGCCGACAGTGAAGAGTGACTAATATGATTAAAACACTATATACGATCAAAAGACAAGTAACATGAGTTGTGTATGAATAGTTAGAACTAATCCTATTAGCGTTTGATACGTAGTAGCTGAGAGTATGACTTAAAATCCATCCCAAAAGTGCAAACATCCTAGCTATTTACTTGCCCTGAACCTTGGAGATAAATCATATTTCCTATATGAGCATTTGCTTTTGGTTCATTTCCATATTGTATTCCTCTTTTTTCGTTGTTTCGAAATGTAGAGATTCAGAGTGACAAACTACTGAATCAAGTTTTCGTACATCCCAGACTGATTGTAATTACTATAAAACCTATTTACATGAAAACATCAGGCCGTTTCACAATGACTTTGCAGGCATATATCAAGTATTATGAAAAAGCGACTTAACATCAATATCTCTGAAAATTCTATTTGTTGATTCATGTTTTGTTTACTCTGTAAATATATTACTTGTTCGGCTACCCTTTGACATGGCGTTAAAGGAAATAAAAGATGAGCCGATACTCTTGGTACGTATTTCAGAATCGCAGAGGGAAGAGCATGCATTCTGATAAGAAAACATGTCTGCAAATAAATGAATACTTCATGATGTACACTTCTGAAGATTACATAAAATGGATGAATATTAAGTATAAAATAACATAACAGAAGTAATCAAGTAGTTATAAAAACTGGATATGTACATGCAAAATAATGAGATAAAAAATGACAGAATTATCTATTGCGATAGCTCTGAAGGAAAATAAGGATTAAAATACCAGTAATGTAAATGAATTAGTACAAATAAATTATACATGCAGGACACTAGTATAAACTGGAATGCAATAGTAATTGCATTGCATGGGGTGCATTGATGTGCAAGGTTCATATCATATATACACAAATTATACGACTTTAATCAACAAAATAATTATTCCAGTTACTTTAAAACAGGTAAACTTGAGGACATAATGATATTATTGCTATCGTCGCTCGCGTAAGTAATTACTCTATTTGAAATCCCATTGATGAGATTGTGAGATGGATCATCCAACGCATTTTGCACGTCAGTATGAAGGTTTGACTCTTGTAATGATGTTTTTTGTAGACGGTATAGATGTTGAGCCGCAGTTTTGGCACTCTCTAAATAAGTTCCTAAATCTACCTTATATTCTTTATGTTTTGCGACTTCGGGGACAAAGGGGAACGAAACTTTGTCATTCATTTTTCCCAAAGAAAATGTTGTATGTACTCCATTAGATGACTGAGATGAACTTAAAGGACCTCTGGGAGTAAAAACTTGGTTTATTCCTTGGTGTTTGTCTGAAGGATCTTGCTCCTTTTCAAAAGAACCGCATTCTGTATTCATATTATTATGATCATATTTATGTAGTCGTTCAAAGTTAGTAACATGGGTTGTGATTACATCCAATTGGGCCTCCATAACACTTAGAGCATTTTCAAACGGCGTTAGGATACACTCATCTATGTTCAACAAGTTATCTTGAGTTTGTGTTAACTTTCTGAGCTGTTCAACTGGAAAATGAAAGGTCATGTTGCCTAAATTCGTTACATGGTTGGCAAGATCAGAAAACTCATTCAACGTGGAATGGTCATATATCTTGACATTATTTTGATACACTGGACTAGTAGAATTCACAGACTGATTATGGCTATCTGGCTCTAACCAGTCAATGTCCAAAGAATTTAATCCAGACGCTGATGAGAGGTGTACAAATTCATTCGATCTGCCTGGAATTCGAAAAAAAAACAGTTTAAATCATTAGTTTATTACTTAAGAAAATAAAAATCTAAAAATTGGGTAATTTCTATAAACTGAAAAGAATGTCTACAATAACAAAATTCCCGTAGAAATTTCTGATACTGTTTCAATAACTTTTATTAGTTTTTAGATTGTTTCAAATATGAAGCAAATTTGAATTTTCATAATAATATCCAAATGAACACAGAAAATGCATATCCATAATATATCTATCCAATATATATATATATATATATATATATATATATATATTGAAGCCAATCAACTGTTCCATGAAAAATCACATAAAAATAGAAATATATTGATATACAAAATGGATATTGTAGATCAATAGTGGAAAGCACAGAAGGATAAAAGTATACTTACAAGTTGTGGGCAGAAAATTAGATCCTTTTACATCAGACTGTTGACTGGCACAAGGTGTAACGAAATCATCATTTAAAGGACTACTCAGTAAATCAGAGATGATTGAACGTGCACATTTGGGAATAGACAAGTTAATAATATCTGATCCGACACCCGTTCCCAAGTGATTAGTTGAAATTCTGTCGCTTGATTCACTGATGACATACGGAAACAAAGTAATATGAATTAACGAGTTATTTATATGGGGCGATTTGAATGTTTCACACAATTATTCTATGCTTCAGATAACTTATTATTTACTGAGAAAACTCACTGTTAGCCCTTAAATTAAAATTTAACGCAATTAGTCCCTTTAATAAATTTCGGTAGTGTAATAAGAAGACGAAGATTGTTTTTACATTATTTATTTATTAACCTTGTTTTCTCTTACCCTCCATTTCTAGTCTAGTTGACCTTTTATTTTTACATACAAATGTTCTTAACAAGTATATGTGTGATCAGATTGTTGGAAATGTATAGCGCTAATATATCACATAGTTCTGATAAACTTCGTCTTCTTATTACACTACCGAAACTTTAAATTAAACCTTAAGTCAGGATAGAAACGTGTATTTGTCAATAACAATACATAGACCTACAACCTCGACTTTCAAAAAGCAATATAGTAAACAATATAGCCGGTCGGTTATCATCAATTTAGAACATAGTATGAACGTGTAGCGGTTAAATCAGAACAGCTAGAAATGAAATTAGCAAGATAAGGAGCGAATAAGAGTATTTAACTTTAATGAGTAACGAAGAGAGAGAGAGAAAAAAAGACGCAGTTTTACAAGAATGAGATAGACGAAGAATTATGGGTCACAAGTAATCCAATATTTAGAGCAAGATAGAGAAATAATACAATCCCACCACTCCTAACTGTTCTACCTTAATCCCATTCAACGTCTCAAACCACTCACTACGAGTATTCCATGAGTTCTAATCACAGAATGTTCACATACCGACACTATTGAGACCAAACGTTAGTGACGTCACTGAACGATCCTATATCTTGATTGGCTTATCTTTAACATTATGCCAACCTACTCTCGTGTCAGTCAATATTACACATCCAGGTATGAGGTGGTGGTTAGCTATCCACAACACATATCTTCAATATAAACCTCACTAAATGTCATAGCACTAAGTTATGATACACCTTAACTATCATATAAAGTACGTTATACTCATGATCACAGGATGGATATGAGAATGAGAGAAACTAGGAGGTTAATAAAACTTCGCGACCTAACATAATGGTTAAGCCTAATTAACTTCAGTGAAACGGCAAAAGATCACAAATACTACTGACCAGTTGTACCAAAATTAAGAATAATTCATATGTTTTTCGATGAAAAACTTCTACACCTTTTCCAAAGTCTCAATTAAAATCACACTAAGATAAAGCAACTTACTTGACTGAAATTTCATCATCGTTATTGGACCTGTTGATTTTGACATCAGCGGATGTTTGAATCATAGGCTTGTCAGGTGACGAGGTTGAAGAGCTATTAGAATCATATGAAGGAAATTGTTGACCTGACTCTAAATGATTATCACATGCAGTATTGGAAAAATATTTCAAAGGACTTAGTGTAGAATCTTCAGAAGCAGAAATATCAAAAATAGCACCTAGATCTTTACCAGACGTATTAGTAATCCTAGGATGAGAACAAAGCAACTGCCAAGCAGTGTTCTCTCTGCATAATTTATCATTATTCTGTGAAACGGGCGGCTGTTCTGCATAAGATCTCGGTACCTTCAAAAATTCATCTACAGAACACGAATCAGGAGTAACACTACTGATATTTATCACTCCATCAACACTAAAACCTGAAATTTCTGGAATGATATCAGGACCTAGATCCTGAAGAAATCCTGACAAATCTTGAGTGGCAATATGATAAGTAGGATCAGTGACTTGGTATGAAACGGATTCCGACTGAGCAGAACCGTTAATTGCTTCATCTAATGGCCAGTTGGTATTAGGACATTCAGAGTCCGGAGTAGAAATGCAAAAAGTATGATTATCGTTTGATGGCTGTAAGTGATCACACTTAGATACAGTGATTTCACCATTAGCTTCAGAAAGATTTCCAAACGCTATACCTCTCAATTCCATATAGAGACCTATAAAACAAAATGAAGATGAAAAACGAAATTCTTTATTCAGTAAAACTTTAAAAACTGTCTATGAATACTTTGTAAAATTTCATCAAGACCAAACAAGTAACTATTTTTCGTTATTGTTCTAAAATAAGAATGAAAAGTAACATAATCGGAATTTTTAAAGAGAAATCCCTAAACAATAGAATGTACCAGGGTAAAAGACAAGAAACTAGGAATTTTCAATTTTAGATGGGTTATATATTTTAGCACGTGCAAAGTAACAATTTTTATATAAACAGAACCACTACCATGTCACAAGGCATCCTAAATAAATACAAACTGAAGGAAGCAAAGGAATAACCCTGCCTAGTCCCATGAAACAAGTAACACTAGTTACTATGTTCTATATAGTAGTCCTGCATTTTATTACTTAGCCAAAACAAAACCAGCTTTCACAGAGCTTAAGTGATTTGGCCTTAGAAAACTTCATCAACAACAATGGTCATCTTTCATGAACTCGGATACGAGATATTTCAATACAAAATAAAAGTTTATCTCAGATTATACAAGCTATTTGAGATTACTTTCGAATGCCAGATTTTAACTAGTATTTAAGTAATATAACAAATAGTATATGTTCATTAACTCAGAGCTAAAAACAAACTGGAAGATTAAAGTAATTCTTTAAGATAGATATAAGTAAACCAGATATAGAACGTTCATTTGTTGTTTGCATTTGCGTTAAACATATAAGAAAAGGGAACAAGAAACTGGACGTAAAAGAGGTGATCGTAAGCCGAAACAATGTGGCCGCTAGTTGAGTTTCAACATCTAAAAAACAACAGTTAAGACCGTCTACAACAACTGTGAGACTATTTTCTTTATTCCGAAGGTATGAATACACTACGGTTTAATCAACAGTTTCACATAGTGTCTGTTCTATATTTCCCGCGTGGTCTAGCGGTTAAGATTCCTGGCTCTCACCCAGGCGACCCGGGTTCGACTCCCGGCGCGGGAGCCAAGCCCCCGAATGCCCTGGTACGGCCGAGAGTGGGGAGGGTCCGCTCTCCCTCTCGAAATGCTCTCATACGGCCACGCGAATATATAGCCTCTGCCAGGGAAGTCCTACTCACTGCCTTCTCGCATCACGGGTGTTGTTCACGAAAGTGAGAAGACGAAAAGCGAATTTCTGGCGCTTTAACCGGGTTGGTGGATACGGAAAGTTCACCTAGGGGAGTTGGGAAACCCTGATTCCAAACCAATGGTGCACATGGGCTCCAGTATCCTGATGGAACGAATGGCGGACGAACCTGTCATTGGTCAATGACTACCATGGGACTGCATCTCCTCACGATGCTACACTGCCTTGTGGATCAGACCTTTAGGTCAAAGGCTCCGGGTGTGACCCCTTAAGAAAACCACCAGCTTCAGTTTGGGCACCTGGGTAGTATCACAGCCCTCACATAAATCAAATGAGATTTGTGCGGCGCATATATATCTGGTGCTTCTTTATACCAATATTTATGTGTTCAAATAATATAATAATTTCCCAAAACAGAATCCAGACTGATTATAGGAATAATACCTGTGGATATAAATACTGAACATGGCAGAACTGCCTGGTCTAAGGTACTTAGTTCGATGTGTATTCGTGTCAATCGACACATCATTTACGTCTTTATTGGACCATCAATCACATCGGAATATAAAAAGGAGTATCCAAAAGTTATTTATAACTACACAGATGAACAATAAAAAAACATCGTATAAAATACCTCAGCAAACAATTACTATACTGTATCACGTTAACTGACCATTGTTTCTGAAAGGTAGATAATACGACAAACACTACTGTTTTCACTATGTGTTTAGCGATAGATGAAAAGATGGATGTTTATCATCTACTCTTATTGAGTCATTTGACTTTATTTGTGTGGCCACGCACACTTAAACTGATGTCAGCCAGTCACAAAGTAGAACTTCGTACATACGTACATCAGTTCGAGTTGCCATACCACATTAGCACAGAGATGCAGCTGTCAATTCCAACCCATAGTGGTAGAAGTAGTAAGAGTATAAGCAGTAATCCGAAAGATTAGGGTTTCAATATGTTATTCAAGGAGTATAATCCAGTGAAATAAATCCGAAAAGAGGAATAAAAATATAGAGACATGAGGAATTCAGAAGATTAGAACTTGGTAGAACACAAAGAGTGGATGCACCTTCGCCATTGCAAACGATTATGAGCCATGTCATTCAAGGTATCTAACCATCGATTACTATCATCCCGCGAATCCCAACCAGGTAGTCTACACCTACCAACATGGCTCACTCCACTTGTCAGTGACTTCATGGATTTGTGCCACGTTTTGGTCTGGCCGCCCCTAGCTTTTTTCCAACCAACTGATGAGCACAATAGGATGTGATTCAATCGCTTACATCCTGTTTAGGTTTATGGTTAAGCATAAAGCTTATTCTTTCAATGATAATGACTTTCGCCACATAGCACGTCTTACTAAAAACTGATTTTAACCTATATTTTAACAAAGGGCTATTTAACTCACCTCCAAATTGTAGGGTAATGTAGATAGGCTTTTTTGTTACCAAAAATGTAGTAGGTCTCACTATACTATGACTTTTCAATCGATTTATGATTATAGGATGACCATGCTCCATCAGTGTTTTGTTCAGTAACCTCACTTTGTCTTCAGTCGTACCGTTTATATGAATACGATCAATCTTATTAAGTAGCCCCCCAAACAAGGCTCGCTTGGATTGAAGTGGGCAATAACTATGATTAGTAAGATACTGAACTGTCCAAGTGGGGTTTCTAAAAATGAATCATTTGATTGAACCATCTTCTCTTCTACTTATAAGTATATCTATAGAGGAAGCTGATTTTTTTTCGCCTCTTCACATGGAAGACCGATGTGGTCTTAAAGAATGTTAAGTTTGTTCAATGAGCAATTCACACTCTCCTTTTTATCACAGACAACTATGACGTCATTCACAAATCCCCCATAGAGGGACATATTTTCGATAAGGTCTTCGGCTAGATATTCAACATGTGCCATAAACATGTCAGCTAATAATGATCCTAACGGATTAGTGTTACGTCTGGCCGATTGTGAACGCTATATTTGCTTCCCTAAGCTAGTCCCGTATACCCGAGCTAGAACTATACAGAAACTTGAAAACCAGAGAAAAGGCACAAAGTAGAGGGAAGCGCTTTACTACAGGATTCATTTATGTACAGAAAATACAGGGGTTTTATAGTAATTAAGAGACCTTGAGTTTCCATAGTAGCCGTGTGTCAAACAGCCAATCAGGATCTCGTTACTTTAGTAGCATAGCTTCTGATTAATCGCTGATTGGTTGGGTCTCTTTATGAGCCTCTGGAGGCTCTGATAGAGATTACTGTAAGCCGACTTAACAAATAGCCATGGCAAACCCATCAGTCGGGAGAAAGCATTCATCTTTAAGTGTGAACTGGACTTTGTCAACCCAGAATAGTGAGAAATCTTTAAGAACTATCAGAGGAATATATATATACTCACTCACATATAATATCAATATTCTTTTCGAACAGCATATTTGTGAACAAGAAATTCACGTTGAAAGAATATATTGCCTCTCCCTCGAAATTAATATCACCCAAATAATTCACTCAAAAGAATCTTTCAGAGAATAATTACATAAAAGACTTCGGTAATATGGATTAATTATCCATGATGGTTAGTTTCAGATCACTTTCTTTAGTATATCTCTTTACTTTTACCTTACATTTATCTAGTTAACCCTCTGTTTTTCATATTTAAATGTTCTTAACAAGTATATCTGTAATCAGATCGTTCTAAATGTATGGTGCTAATATGTATCACACAATTCTGATTATTTTCGTCTTCTTATTACACTATCTAAATAAACCAGTATAGAAAATTTTTTATTTATTTTATTTAAACACATAAATATTGGTACAAAAGAGCACCAGATACATATGCGCTGCACAAATCTCATTTGATTTGTGTGAGGGCTGAGATACTGCCCAGGTGCCCAAACTGAGGCAGGTATAGAAAAATATAATTTACAGAAGATGGATCAAGAGTGAAGGCTCTTGAACCAACAACGTCGACTCCGCACTTTGTAACTTAACCTATAGTGGGCTCAAGCCAAAAAATAAATGATAACTTCAGATTATTCATTCAAACCCTCAATGTATTGTACAATAGTATGCACCCGACGTTCTACAACATAAGAGAAGACAGGACTACTTAATCAAAATTTAATTGACCATCAAGCATCAATCAGTGGTCTTGAGTGATGTTAGAGGTTTGAGGGCAATTATCACTTCCCAGCTGCCCGCACCGTGGAAGTGTTCTTCTAGAGGTACCTGAAAAGGAAATTAGGTTAGAAGTGGTCTCAATGACCTGAGAGAGTGACCGCAGTGCCCAAGGGACAACTGCTTGAGATAGGCCACACACGACCTTTTTGTGAGTAATTTTCGTGTTAGCTCCATACTTGTTGGGACCTTACCACCGGAGACGGATATCCGTGGGATAAGGTGAGGTGTGAAATTTCAGGGTCGACCTTTTCTAACCCCACCCCTACTTGTGGGAAGGCAGCATCACTGTTATGCTGGTTGTCTGAAGGAAACACCTTACTGCCTTCACACCTGTGTGCAGTCAGCAGTATAACTTCGCTTTCGGACCTTGAGTTTGCTGCTTTTAGTCTTACCGCTCTTCAACCGACCTGCCTGGCATGGTAGGACCATGAGGAACGATTGTCCCAGTCAGTATAGCTCGATTGGTTCATCACGATAGGCAAGCCCGACCACCACGTCAAGGTAGCAGCAACGGTCGGGATTAAAATTGTTTCATAATTTTCTTCCTTCCTATACTATATCCCTATATAAAACCTTTCTTTTATATACTACCACCTCTAAATTAACTACTATGAATCCGGTGTTCATCTTGTTGTGCTAACGAGATATGGCAACTTGGACCGATGCATATATGTGCCTAGTCCTACGTTGTAGCTGACTGACATCAAGCATCAATGCACTTAAAATAGCAACAACTAAGATACATCAAGTAGTTAGCAATAGATCTAGACTAACTAGGATTACAAAACAGCATTAAAAACGAAATCATAGTATCTCGATACTTAAGTGACAGATCGGATGCATATGTTAAAATTACTAACAATGATAAAATACTAATAGTAGTTGTTTAAAAGAGATAACTTACGATTGACTTGATCTTCAGGGGTATGTATAACGGGAGCTGTATGTTTGATACTTCCAGCAAACTTCGATGTTGGGAAGTCACTTGGTTTGGATGCGCCTTGATACGCATTTTTGGAAACGCCAGAGTCTTGCTTTAATTGATCAGACACAGAAGGCAAATTTGACCTGTTTAATATTTGCCATCCAGAAGCTAATAATGGACGTAACTGACAGACTTTATTCAAAATAGACCAAACATCAATTAACAGACCTCGTTTTGAAAATCCAGAGTTAAGATCACGTGATCGTAGTAAACCCGTCCGCCATTCGTTCTTGCGGGATTTTCTAGCTGGACGTAAAACCATCCGACAATTAATACAAACAGATGAACAAAGTTCATTACCAGTCAACAAGTCTACATTCGAAAGTAGTGTCGAGTCAAATGATGTACCACCGCACAAACGATGAAACCAACATAAACAATGTGAACATTGAATAAGACCAAGTTCTTTTTCTGTAGCATATGCTCGCGCATTGCAACAGTGACAAGAAAGAAGTCTGGTGAACTCAGAAGCACTTGATCTATCAGAATATGGTTCACTAAAAACAAGAAAATAAATCTATATGAAGACGACAAAAAACCTAGGATCGTATCCATACAAAACAGAGCAAACCTGAGCTAAGTTGAATTCATTTTGAAACAAGTGCACACAATTTGGAACTGCAACACCATTAAATAACAATTTTCAAGGTGTGGGTGCAAGTATTAAAAACATGAAGAATGAGAAAGGAATCCAACTTGATGATTGTAAATCACATTTGACTATAAAACTAAGTACTTTTAATACACGAAAAACTTGGAAACTAACCATTTTGAATATACAGCGACTTTAAACTTTGTCGGAAAATAAAGAACTTAAAACTGTATTTTCTTTATTTCTCATGAAGTTTGGTAGTGTTACGAGTTAAAACCGTTGAGGAAAGTAAACAATGGATAACTTATAAACATCTTTTGAACGATGATCACACAATAAACTAGTCCCTTTTAGTTATGCGGAACACTAAAACAATACATTTAAAAGTATTGGCTAAGACAAATTTTTAAAGGTGTTTAGGGCAAAATTAACCATAAAAAAGTCACAGAAGCCACCAGACAAAAACTATCTTTGAAGAGAAGTCAGGAATGAGAAAAGCTACTGAAAAATGAATTAACTATTTTAAGACCAAATACCTCGGTTTTTCTTTTGAGATTGACCCAAGAGAAGATAACTGCATATTAGATTTCCACGGCAAACATCGATTCTGATAAGCTTCTCTTTTTGTGTGCGTTGTGGATTTTGTGCTGCCAGACACATCTTTGTGGTAATTAACAATGTGAGCGTCGAGTAACTTTGAATTTCGCAACTGACGGGAGCAATGAGGGCATGGGTATACAACAGGAGCAGCTGATTTAGCGGGAACTTTTGTGAAAATCTCTCCCGAGATAGGCATACTAGATATTTTTATTTCTGCTTCTCTTTTGTATACCATAGTTCGACGTGGTCGTTCATCACATTTACTTGACTCAGACAAATTTGATGAACTGTTTGAGAGATGAGATGCCTTCTCTAACAGTTTTGTTTCTTTCTTCAGAGAAAAACATTATACTGACATTATCATAGACAGAAGCAGTATATAACTAAAATATGATACATGAAATTGGCAAAAAGGACACATCAAAAACGAACACTGATACGACAAGCATAATCTTTCATTGTGAGTAGTGTTACAGACCCTTATAATGGCTTCAGATTAGTTTCAACCCCACAAGATCAAGTATAACTGACCACTGTCTCTTTACAGTGATTTACATATTTATCTACTTAACTATGTAGAAGAAAATATGGTACAATATGAGAGAAGAGACAAATATCACTATGGAAAATATAACAAAACACGAGAATCTGATGAGGTTGGAAAATAATGCATATTAATAATGAGTTAAAAAAGGATAACTAATACACTTATCAGCTTTTCGTCATAGAGCTTGTGTAGAAGTTATGAATTTTACCAAAAATAAGTTCAGCGTTACTACTAGAAAATATCTGGCGGTTTCGAACACCCAATACTCTGATCAGGGAGTCGTATATACTATAAGCTAATCTGCTTTTCCATCACTCCACAACGTTACGCAATAAAACGGTTGGGCTTTACGTCACCTGGAACAATGGTCTTATGACTATGTGACACATAACACTGAAGTTGAAACGCTTTTGTAAAATGAAATGTAGGTATAAACAATCCTACTGTTAACTATGAGTCACTCAATAAAGGAAACTAGTATAATGCTAAAGTGATGTAAACCAGATGTTTAAAAAGCGCTTCTCATACGGGGCTCACATAAGATATAACAACGACCCATACAGTCAATAACTGTTGAATTGAGTCCCATAAGGAAATCCAAATTTGATAGGTGTCACCTACAAAACAACATAAATCGATTATTGAAACCTCTAAGTGTGGTGGCTTAAGATCCATGACCGTGAATATCGCACTGTTTTAAAAGTTCAACTCCCTATTGTACTCGAGAAAAGAATGACTTAAAAGTTGATATGAGGAAGTTGAACTTGTTGTTTGTAAACTAATTACACTAATCACTGTTTCTAAAACACTTAACATAAATACAATTGGCTATGAATCATATTTTTATCATGTCTATCATTATCAGGTCTTTAACAACCCAGTATTCCTAAACTTTATTGCACTCGACCAGTTTCAAAATCAAAGCACGACTTGAAGAGAAATATAAGTACATTTTCAAGCAAAAGCCAAAGTTAATCAGTTATATATCAGTTAACATAATTATAATTTACGGAGTTGTCACTGAATATAAATACCACGGAGAACTTTTTTAATACAATCAAGATACATTAATAATAAAACAACGAACTCCATACTAAATAAGTCGACGCATATAGGAATATACTAAAATCCAATGAGCCAAGCTCATTGTAAATCAGTTAATGATTTCTAAAATTGATTTCTCCATAAATGTAGTATCTAGGGATAAAATAACTTAGGTTTAAACCCTGAATGTTTTAATATCCCGTCCCAACTAATTTGTCATCATTTTTATTTTCTTTCATACCAACTTTATGATGTATGACAACTGTTTTTGTTTTAATCCGACCCAAGATCTCTTAAACTGATGGCTATGAATACTAGTCACTTGATCACATACATAAAAACATGAGAACACAAGATTTATTGAGACAAAATGACGAAGCGAAGATTCCGTATTTCGAAAACATAAAATCGATTGTGACGGATACCGATCCTTCGTTATAAAGATTTATATTATAAGCAACACTACGCACAGACAATTCTTACAAGTAAAGAGAAGATCTAAGATGCTACTTCACACAACGAACTGGTTATTACAGGTCATCCTGACACAGCAAACAGTAAGAGGGTGTCAACCTCCTTGAAGAGCTTTCATATGACTGGGTGCTTGTCTCCTAACATAGAAATTTTACTCTGCGGTTTTACCTGAGGGGTGTTTTACAAAAGAGTAGGTAGACATCCAACACAGAACGGGATGGTGAACATATAAGGTTTACTTAATGGTGTTGGATCGGATCCCAAAATTGTGAGGAAAATAATGACGTATGGACAAACTTAAATATTCATGAACAATGAATATACATTTCCTGACGCTGTTGACTTGCTGTGCACATTAAACTATTAGGTCAGAGGGCTATGAAGTGATTCCCATGGAATATCTGTTTCGTCATTCAGTCAACAGCATTGACAAAAACTATCGTCAGGTTAATTTAACCCCTATAATCGATTGTACAACTAGAGAATATCACTTAAGAGTACACATTATGAGCACTGAAAACTGTGACCAAGAAAACGATTTGACAGTTTTTAGATGATAAAAATTATACTTACTGTTTCATCATTTTTTTGATAGGATGGGATTGATGATCCAAATGGTGGCGTAACTGTGTTTTCCGTTATATAATTCTCAGTTCTTACAGAACTACTTTTAGGACTGTTCAGTGAATCAGGATCACGTCTGGTCTGGTGATTTGGCCTTTCGGAAGATGTTCGACTTAAGGTAGACACAGAACCATCGGATCCATATAGATATATTTCATTTTCTTCGATAGCTTTTCTCTTCAGTTCACGGCGTCTTCGACAGGCCTCATGAAATTGGAAAACACTCTTGTCATAAACCATTCCATCCTGTTCGATAATACCATCATACAATGTTGGGTGAAGAGTCTTCTTGTCTTCCGAAGCAGATGAACTGTTAGTACTTGCACGAGTAGGACGTGATCGATACTTGGGTATTTCAGGATCTAAGGTTCGGTCTGTTGACTTGCTTTCTGACACAGTTGTTCTTATTCTTTTAGCTCGAGTTATTCCTGATGTATACTCACTACTACTACAAGAATGTTGCAGATCAATTTTATTGGGGATTTTATTTGCAGATAGTGAACTTTGCTCTTTACAGAATTTTAAAACATAATCGATTTCATATTGAGTTGCTTTGCGTAACTTGTCGACGGGTGTCCACTCTACAACACGATCCCAAATATAGCGCAAACGATACTCTGCTCTTGTGCCGTGTCGTTGACGATGGGCTAGAACCTCAGCAAGATATTCAAAGTCGTTGCGCCATGCAGCCATCACATAACTACCCACGTCAAAGTGGTTATCACTGGTTTCTGGACTTCTGTTCATCGAACAGTTAAAAGGGTAGGGTTTTACAAGTTTTGGAGTGTCCTTTGTGAAATCTTTTTTCACAGCGCGCAAGTATTTTGAATTTATCGGGTACCAAGAATCATAACGTGAACTCCAATCACAAAAATGAACATGAACCTAGAAATAAAAGAACATGTTTTTTTGCAGATAACGAATAATGTAAATCATTTAACAATTACGATGTTACATACTTGCTTTCAAGCTATAACACTGTGTGAGAGATAGTGATACTACACGTCCGTTCAAAACCAAGTAGGAGCTGGATGCAGAAAAGCAACTTACTTATTGAAAGTTAGCGCGCTCAAACACCCTGGTACGACCGAGGTTGGGGAGGGTTAGCTTTCCCTCTCGAAATGGTCTCACATGGACACGTGCATACAGCCACTGTCTGGGAAGTCCTAATCACTGCCTTCTCGAAGCGGGGGTGATGTCTACGAAATTGAGAAGACGGCAAGCGAATGTCTGGAGGTTTACACAGGTTGATTGATACGGAGGATCTACCTAGAGCAGTTGGGAAACCTTGATTCCAAACCAATGCTGTACATGGGCTTCAGGATCCTGATGAAACAGAAGGCAGATGAACCTACTGTTGGTCACCGATTACCATAGGACTGCATTTCCTAACGTTGCTCCATCGCCTTGTGGATTGAACCTTTAGGTTAAAGGCTCGTGGAATGGCCCCCTAAGTGTTATGCCTGAAACTAAATCGATTCCGCGGTAACGAACGAAAGCCAATGACACAATGACACGATAAGCTATTCTAATCTGTTGTCCCAGGCCCCGCTAACTAGATGAAGAAGTCCAAGGCAAGTAGGGGAATATATATGTATTCCGTAAGCAGCCGAGTACAAGCAATCGAATAATGGAAAAAGTCAAGCGCATTTATACAACAACAATTTGTCCTTGAGCGTCATTGGTAAATAGCACACACAAAGAAACAAAGGACCAATAGCGGTTAAGATAGTTTACAGGTGGGAAATATGACGTGAAGGTAAAAAGAGCGCTTTTGGCGCGAAAACAGCTAAATTCAAATTTTCAAAAGAAAACTACAAGATTAAGCCATTTACCAAGTAAGTTCTGGGGATTTGACATCCCCAACACCTCCCCTTTTTAAGAAATCCGAGCTCCTCCTCCCCCACGAAATAGTGTTGGATCCTCATATACCCAATTTTCTACTAATGCGATTCTATTTATAACATGTTTCTGGCATTCAATAGGGAACCTGCTAAGATTGACTGGATGGTGAGGATCGACACTTGATGTGAGGTCAGAATTTGATTCTGCAGAAATGTAGTCATTAGACTTATTGCAAACATCACTGGCAGGTTGTGGATCACTATGAAAAACAGTGTCCAGCAAAACTGCGCTAGGTTCCGGATTTGATGCATGTAACAAATTTCCTGGACAAGCTTGGGAATCTTTGGCATTAGATTCGGTAACAATTTCTATTGCAGAATGCGATTCGCTCGGTGTGCTGCTCGATATGATGTCTGGCACTTCGTAGGTGATTGGTGCGACCACTTCATGAGCTTTTAACATAGCATCGTGTTGATGAGAGCTGAAAGCGTCATTGATAGGACCTGCTAATTCCAGGATAGTGGAGTTTGAATCCACTACCGAGCATGTTGCTGAAACGGATAGTGATGGACAACCGGGCATGTCTTGTGATACTGCAGTTTCGTTTAGGTTGCGGCTTGTTGAGGAATCATGGGGGCTGCGATCATTTGCTAGCTCTGTGTGCAATTCAGAGATTAATACATCCACTTCTGACGCATATGTGAAGCATTGATGATCAAGAAACTGTGTACGTAGTTTGACCATGAACTCCAAATGTCGGTCAAAGAGCAACTGTAAGCGGTCAGAAGGGAGCGTCATTTTTCACTTTTGTCCCCGTCGCCAATTGTTATGCCTGAAACTAAATCGATTCCGCGGTAACGAACGAAAGCCAATGACACAATGACACGATAAGCTATTCTAATCTGTTGTCCCAGGCCCCGCTAACTAGATGAAGAAGTCCAAGGCAAGTAGGGGAATATATATGTATTCCGTAAGCAGCCGAGTACAAGCAATCGAATAATGGAAAAAGTCAAGCGCATTTATACAACAACAATTTGTCCTTGAGCGTCATTGGTAAATAGCACACACAAAGAAACAAAGGACCAATAGCGGTTAAGATAGTTTACAGGTGGGAAATATGACGTGAAGGTAAAAAGAGCGCTTTTGGCGCGAAAACAGCTAAATTCAAATTTTCAAAAGAAAACTACAAGATTAAGCCATTTACCAAGTAAGTTCTGGGGATTTGACATCCCCAACACTAAGAAACCACTTTCTTTAGTCAGGGCGCCCGGGCAACCTGTATTTGGTCAATGACTACCATGGGACTGCATCTCCTCACGATGCTACACTGCCTTGTGGATCAGACCTTTAGGTCAAAGGCTCCGGGTGTGACCCCTTAAGAAAACCACCAGCTTCAGTTTGGGCACCTGGGTAGTATCACAGCCCTCACATAAATCAAATGAGATTTGTGCGGCGCATATATATCTGGTGCTTACTTGTACCAATATTTATGTGTTCAAATAAATATTAAATTAACCACTTCGTGCTCTGGAGACAAATATGTTTTCAAGACCCATTATATCGCAAAGGTATATTAAGCATCCCAATAATTTCCTCAATATCGAATTCATTTATTTGATGTTTGCTTTAAAAATAAAAATGAAGTTAAAGTGACCACAGGGAGAACACATTTTCAGTTACAAACAGTAAAAAGTGGACATGTTGAGTAAGGTTTTGCGTATGATGTACAGTACAGGATTTCAGCCAAATGTAGCATCTTAAGCTGTCATAACGAATAATAATAAATCTCACAAGTTGCGCGCTATTTAAAAATACATTGGTATTTTTCCTCGCTGAGTAAATTCTATTGATTTGATCGTTAATGACGTTCAAGACTGTTTATACTTTGATTAAATTTCTTTCCGTTAAAGTATTCGATTAGAGTATCATTTTGGTTTCTAAAGTAGTTTATCGTCGATACTTTAGAATAATTTGTATTTTCTATTGTGTATATTAGTACTTTGGTCCTAATTATCTACGGTTTCCCACTTTTCTGGTCAGAGATCACTTTTTCTCCAGGTATTATTGTGTCTAGTTCTTTTTTAATAAAGAAAAATACATCAGATGACTGGGAAGTGCAATATGAGCAATTGCCAGCCTCCAGGCTGTCGATATCTCGTTGACAGCGGCATACAGTGCGACGGATGCAAAGACTGGTACCAGGAAGTCTACACAAATCTAACGCCTGCGGCTTTTAAACGGTTTATTAAGAATGGTTGCGAATGGCTCTGTCAGCAGTGCTCTCTGGATGCAAATAGTTTGTTTACCGAGGCCATCTTAATGCTGCGAAGAAGTGTCTTGGCAAGCTCGGTCGGGACACGTCGATCAGAACTCGGCCTGTCGATATGCAGATTGACGTAAGGCAAGCACAAGTGAGTCCATAAAGCGCTGACCCACATCGTCCAAAGAAGGAAGAACAGCCTCAGAGGAGGTCTGTCCCAACCATAAAAAAACTCGAGAAAAGAAGTTTCTTCTGTCGCCCGTCTTCAAAATGGTATCCAGCAAGAAACTTCTAGAAGTGGCAATCGCAAGGCTCGGTCGGTTCCCAGCGCGAAACATGACCCGACCTTCCAAGTCGTCGACAACCATCCGGAATCCCATTGTATGCCTGGCGCGACTGTGGTCACTACTCCAACCAACGTCGACGATTGGGTACAGGCTGTAAGCAAAAGACGACATAACGAAGTAAAAGGGAATCCTGCCCCAATCAAAGTAGTCGAGAAATCGAAGACTGATCATAGCGACAGATCAGTTATTTTTCATAGAATCAAAGAGAGTGAAAGCTCTGAACCGAAAGCTCGTTTTGAGCATGACATTGTGTTGATAAGACAGCTACTCAATCAAGTTATGCCTCAAAATATCTCCGGAGTCACCTTGCTAGAGGTGTATAGACTAGGTAGTCTAGCGAATTCGAAACCTAATCAATTTAGACTGCTTAAAGTAGTATTCAAATCCCCAAATGATCGCAACCTAATTTTACAAAATGGACATAAAGGGTTCAGGAGTTTTTCTCCGCAAGGACTTACCGCTAGCGGACCGTGTAAAAAGACAAAAAGCTGAAAAAAACTACAGCTTAGATTAGACGCTGGCGAAAAAGACTTGAAAATTGTAAATTTCCGGGTTGTGAGGCTTTGACAGAGAATGATGCCGAAGCTACTCCGGGTGAAGCACGAAGTCACTTAAATAGGCTTCGGACCTGTTACATCAATGCCCGGAGCGTGTTCAATAAGCGATCAGAACGAGGTGTACAGATTGACTCTACTAAGCCAGACATAATCGCAGTCACAGAAATTTGGCTGACGCAGTCTCTAGATAGTAGAGAACTTGACCACGAAGGTTTCACATTAGTAAGGACCAACAAAGTACAAAAGCGTAAAAGAGGGGGAGTAGCTCTATTCATTAGGAATACTATCCCATTCACCATTATCGACAGTGTATCCCACGAGAGTGGGACGTGTGAACTAGTTAGTTGCCGCTTGAAATGCAAGGGACAAGAGCTGCTGATTGATCTAGTCTATCGCAGTCCAAGCCGTGAGGTAAATGAGGTCCTGCTAAGCAATCTCAATACTTGGTCACAAAGTGGTCGATGTCTAATCCTAGAGGACTTTAACACACCCATGGTAGACTGGGAAAATCTGCGAACTGAATCGACAGATAATTCCTTCGAGCAGTAACTAGTTGATGCGGTTATCACATGTGCCCTAGTGCAACATGTGAAAGAAGCGACTAGGTAAGACCCGGGCTCTGAATCATCCTTACTAGATCTTATATTGGCTCACTATGAGGATGACTTTGCGAACCTTGATTACATGCCACCTCTAGGCAAAAGTAATCATGCAGTTTTAACCTTTGACTTCCATATAACTGTCGATCACGAGCACGCCTCAGCTCAATCCAGACCTAACGTCTGGAAAGCAAACATACCAGACATCATGAAATCAGCATCATCAGTAGATTGGAAAATAGACCCAGAGTCATCGATCGAAACGGCTTGGGACGTATTCCGGAATTTATACTTAAAAGTTACCACCCCCCACATCCCTTGGACTACACCAAGGGGGCCGAGAAACTCCCCACCGTGGTTCAGTAGGGTGTTTCGCATCCTTCCCCGTAAAAGAAGGAAAATGTGGGATAGATTTAGGTTACCGGGGACTGATGAGGTAAAATATCAGTATCAAAAAGCTCGGAATAGCTGTGCCTCGACCCTCCGTAAGGCCAGAAAGCTGTACGAAGAGGAAATTGTCAAGGAATCCATAGAATGCCCTAAACGCTTGTATTCGTATATAAATCAAAGGGCAAAAAGAAGAAGAAATGTTCCTTCACTATGGGGAGACATACTGCCTCATCATTAGTGGAGGACGACTTTGGCAAAGCTCAAGTATTCTCAAAATACTTTAGTAATGTATACACCATAGGAACACCCCACCAGTCCATGAAAATCCACCCACACAAACACCGAACAGTGTGACAACTAAAGAACTCGATGTCTTTGGTCTGCTAATTAAGCTTGACATAGGCAAATCCCCTGGACCCGATGAACTGCATCCTAGGTTACTAAAGGAATTAGCTAACTTTGTTGAGAACCCTTTAGGCATGTTTTAATCTATCCGTAACCCAGGGTCATCTACCGAAAGACTGAAAGAACGCCATGGTAAGTCCAATCTTCAAAACAGGTACAAAACATAAGCTTGAGAATTACCGACCAATTAGCCTAACTAATGTGGTTGTTAAAATCTTAGAAAAGATTATTCGGAAGGAGCTGTTTAAGTATCTCGATGAAAATCGGATCCTCTCGGAGAAGTAGCATGGTTTTAGCACAGGTTATTTTTGTCTCACTAATTTATTAGTCGCTCGTGAAAGCTGGTGTGCTCTTAAGGACCAAAATTTACTTGTAGACGTAACCTACATCGACTTCAGCAAAGCTTTCGATAAAGTTCCGCACAACCGGCTGTTATATAAACTAAGGAATGTCGGGATTGAAGGCAATGTATCGATGTGGGTAAAAGAATTCCTAGTTGGGCGTCAACAAAGAGTACGGGTGAACTCCAAGATGTCTAGCTGGGAAGCTGGGCTTAGTGGAGTCCCCCAGGGTACAGTTTTGGGGCCAGTGTTATTCCTCTTGTACGTAAATGGCCTCCCTCGTCTACTATAGTCATTAGTCTTGCTATATGCTGACGATGTCAAGATATTGAGAGCGATACAAAGTAAAGGTGATAGCTTAGAACTCCAAAACGACCTGAAGAAATTATCTGAATGATCCCAAACCTGGCAATTGCCGAAAAATACTTCCAAATGTATTGTGATGCATATTGATCGTCAGTGTACAGATACATACACGATGAATAACACTGAGCTACCTATTGTCCAGACACAATGACTTAGGAGTCATCGTTAGCGAAGACTTAAAGACTATTGCACACTGCCGTGCAATAGCGAAGCTCCTGTATGATGCTAGATTAACCAAGCTAAACCTATTCCTACTGTCATATCGAAGAACCAGGGGCGACTTGATTATAGTTTTCAAATTGCTTAGTGATAAATTTGCACCTGATATGCCCTCATTTTTCTTGTCTTCCAAAACAAAAAATTCACGAGGACACTTCAAAAAAGTTCACAAGCCCAGAATGAATTACTTGACAGCTAACTATCGACTTTCCCATCGAATCATCAACGAGTGGAATTCATTATCTCAAGAAATACCCTTCCACGGTGTGGGCAGCCGGGAAGTGATATTAACCCTCATACCCGTAACAATACACGAGACCAAGTTGGTCACTTTCAAATCCTTCCTACACCTAATAACTCTTATCTCCACGACTAACCCTTCCCACGTCCTTTTATCACCTCACACCGCTAGGGCAAACGATTCAAATACACGGAACGTTATTCCTGGTCTCCTGAAACCACGCTCTAAACTACATATAGGAACTTTTAACGTACGAATACAGTGCCAATTAGGACAACAGGCTTCCTTAGCTAGGACTTTAGAATCTCGCACCATCG